CCCCAAAACCCCAAAACCCCAAAACCCCAAAACCCCATGAGAAGCAATTAAATTAACTTGAGGGTTAAAGATAAAAATTAAATGAATGAATGTAGTTAAAATATTTGTTTATCAGTCCAGTCTTGAGTTTTTAAGCATGCTGATGCCACCCTTTGAAATTGAGTTACTATAGGATTTATATTTATATAATAACTATCTTACTTGTGACTTCCAATGGTGATGTGGTCCTTGTAGACTAAGTCTTCGAACTTTTTGTAGAGATCTTTTCCATTAGTGATGACATCGTCTTCTGTCTCTGCATCCTCGTTGAGATTAACGTCATTGCTGCTTGGTGCTTCAATCTACAGAATTGAATTAGATACTTAATGATAAAGCTTACATTGGTTGGACCCTTATCGAACTCCTTTTGTACCATTCTCTCGAGGGAAAGGGAGGAGATAGCTGCATCTGGGTTCTCTTATTTATAGGCGAGATAGGTGATAAGCATGGAGATGTACTCTTCAAGCTCAGCTAGATAGAGTGTCACATTGTTCTCATTGAACTGAGTATCCTCGTCGTATTGCATATGTTAAGCAACATTGAGGAAGAACTGAGACTTTCCGAAGAAGTCAACCATATCTCTGACATAGTCTCTTATCTTAGACATTTATTGCTCAATCTCTTGAATTTGACTTTCCTTGGTGATGGTCTGTAACTTAATATCTTCAATTTCGTTTCCAAGATTCTTTCTCATATTGAGCTTTTCCTTCTCAGTCATCTCTCCGAGTTCCTCATGCTTTCTAATCTCACTCTCAATATTCTTATTTTGCTCCTCAATCATATCGATTTCTGAATTTAACATATTCACATAGTTGTATAGAGAATAGTTCTGCTCTTCAGCCTTGATAAATGTGGTCACGATTTCTTCAGTCGATGAGATACCAGTGGCTTCTTTGATTTGATCGAAAGCATCTTCAATAATCTTGACATTTCTGATGTACATATCCATAAGGTTTTTCTTTTCCTTGTTGTTAGTAGTCCACTTTTGAAGTCTAAGTTTAAGAAGAGCAGCTGGGTTTGAGAACTCAGTTTATTGTGTCACTAGTTTTTTAGTACCGCCCATGTCCTTAGATCTGGTTCTTTCAAGCTCACTGTCGTCCTTCTCCTTGAGTTTGTCTTGCAAGTCCTTGATCTTTCTCTCGAAGTTGTACTTCTCAGCTTCGTGCTTGGCTTTCAAAGCAAGGATTTGATTGTTTGTCTCCTCAGATATTCTTTGGCCCTGATAGGTTGTAACGTTTAACTTTTTGGCATCGTCAGCTGTCAATGAGATGTCTTTAACTAGAGTCTTGTTGACTCTAAGTTGGTTGCGCTGTTCCTTCCTCATGACATCGATCTCCTGACGCAGTTTCTTGTTAGTTGACTGTAATTCATTGTACTTGACCAAGGCCTTCTCTAACTGATTCTCGAATAGCTTAATCTAGTGAGAGTCTTTGTTCATCTTGGCTGTGGGTGGGCGAATTGCCTTGATATTTTCCTTCTTTTCATTTAATTCTTCGTTGGCCTGCTTGAGTTAGTCCTCTAAGATCATTAGACGCCTAAAGACAGATAAGTTATGATATTCATTCAAATCTAGCTTTATTCAAAAATATCTCATGCAATCATAAGAGTGCTGATGTGTTTCAAAAATAAGGAAGAGTTCTTCTAAACTAGATAATGACTTACTTTTTCTCATGCTCGAACTTCTTGGTGAAGTTGTCAGCCTCTCTTTGGAGTCTCTGGGCCTCACTCTCATACATGGAGTTTCCTAGTCTTGATGTTGATGAAAGAGTTTTAGAAGCGTTCATATCTCTTTAAGTTGTTTATTTATTTATTATATTTATACTGTTTCTTATATTTCAACTCAAATAAAATGACATGGGGTTTTGGGGTTTTGGGGAGATCGGAAGAGCACACGTCT